ACAAAGTTCCTATAGTAGCCGCACATTCCTAAGAATGATCTGACCTCAGTGACTGTCTGAGGTCGTGGCCAGTCTCGAATACTAGCCACCTTCGCATCTTCCAGCCTAATCCCCTCCGCGGATAATTCATGACCCAAGTATAGTATCTTAGTGCGGCCAAACTCGCACTTCTCTAAGTTGACCTTATACTTGTGCTGTCGTAGGAGTGAGAAAATTGTCTCAACATGCTGTGCGTGCTCCTTGGCAGACTTACTAAAGATCAGAATGTCGTCTAAGTAGACCACGACAAACTTATCTAAATGGTAATGGGAGATCCGATTCATAGCGTGCTGGAATGTACCCGGCGCATTACAAAGACCGAAAGGCATCACTACAAACTCATACAGACCATATCTAGTCTGAAAAGTTGTCTTGTGTTGGTCCTCGGGTCTTATTGCGATCTGGTGATATCCGGATTTCAAGTCTATCTTTGTATAGTACTTGCATCCCTGCACTCTATCCAATAGGTCGTCTATGCGAGGTAGAGGCTTTGCGTTTTTCACCGTGATTGCATTGAGGCCCCTATAATTAATGCACATCCTCAAAGTACCCCCTTCTTCGGTACGAATAGAACGGGTGATCCGTAAGGGGAAGTACTAGGCCGAATCCAACCCTTTGTCAGTTCCTTGAGTTGCTTCCGAAGTTCATCTAACTCGGCAGGGGCCATCCTATAGATCCTTCCCTTTGGGGTCTTACTCCCTGGAATGATTTCTATAGCGTGGACGACTTCCCTATCAACAACTCCTGTGGGCTCTTCGAACAGATCAGGGAACTTAGCAACGACGCGTTCTATCTCTGGGGGTGTTTTAACGGCCTCCCCCTTCTCAGAGACATAAACAAGGTACATACCTTCCTCTTGGTTTTGCTTGTAGTAGTTATAGAACGCTGATGCACACAAGCAGCCATAGGTATCTACAATACTGCTGGCCTTGAACTTAGTCAATCTGACAGTTCGGCCATCGGGCAACATATGCTTAAGCACCTTCTTATCATAGTCGAACTGGGGCTTAGCAACTTCGAGGTAGTACATGCCTAGCAACATTTCGAATGGCAGGTCGTCGCTAACCAAGAACAAGATCTTATGGTTAAGCTATCCTCCTCCATAGGAGAAGGTACAGAGTACGTCCTTGATGTAGTCTGTGACAATCGTGCGCTCTTTGTTGGCCAAAGTAGATGCTACTGGTCTACTAAGGTGCCATACCCGGTCCTGTAGGTGCAGCCTTTCCAAACAATCGCGACTTATGTAATTTTGCGTGGATCTGTTGTCTATGAAGGCTCCACATTTGCGGCCTCCTACATCCACTTCCACCATGAAATGTTCCCCTCTAAGACCCTTCTTTAGCGCCACCCAAGACTCGCAAGGATCCTTGTTTGACCACTCGCCTTCTAAGTCTTCTAAGGCCTCAGACACATCTAACGTACAGAGCATAGTTTGGTCTAGTTGTGTCTGCGGGGTGACTAAGGAGTCATTAGCTTCGGCCTTGTCATGAAGTGAGGAGGGTATCAATCCCACTTCATCTTGAGTAGAAGCCGCTACTTCTTCCACTGGCCCTACGCGTTTCCCGAGCTAGAAGCCTGGGAATAGGTTGTCCCTACTTTTGGAGCAACCTTTTGTGTAACCTTAGCGTTCTGACACTTCTACTGCGTGTGTCCGTATTCTCCGCAGTTGATGCAAGCGCCACGCATTCGGCGGTCACGCCACACGTCTTGATCAAGAGCTGCCTTTACCCACTCAGACTGTTTGGTCTGATTGGAGTCGGCCTTCCCTTGACTCCTAGGTTGGCCCTTCCCTCGGCCACCTGCCTTAGTCTTTACTACTGCGGCAAGGGTGTTACCCTCAGCTACCTCCTCGCCGTCATACTCTGAGTAGTCCATCAGGTCAGAGAGCTCATCAATCTCAGTTTGAGTCCCATCAGACTCAACCATCATCAACTTCGCCCCCTTCTTCTTCCACTCCGGAGGACTCTTCTTCTTCTTTGAGTCATTCCCTGAGGTGGGTTGAGCATTGCCTAGCGTGGCCTCTAAGTCTAAGGCTTTCCTAGACAATGTCTCAAATGAGTGGTACTCAGTGCGTGCCTCACTGGCTAGTAAGTTCCGCATGTTCTCAGGTAGACACCTAACAAACGTGGTTAAGAGGAACTGGTCACTGTAGTTGATGCCTGGGACGAGGATCGGGCTCTCGACGGTAGTCGTAAGCTCCCTAACTGACCTGAACTTCCGTTGGTCAAGTTTGTTAATGGCATCAGTGGCCCTTTGAGCCTCCTGGGGGTTATGCCATCGAGCTTCTACCATCTCCATGAATTGGTCTAAAGTCAATGACTTAGCCCAATCCGCCATGCGTCGCCCATACCCGGCCTTCACAACTAAACCATCTAACCATTTAGCTGCCTTACCCTCTAGGTAAGACGCCGCAGTTACCACTTCATCCTCAGGCAAGGTCCTTTTGGCCTTCACCCAAACCGGGACTGTCCTCAACCATGTGTTGAGTTCTTCGTCCTTTCTCTCGCCTGAGAAGGCAAGAGGCGGTTTCATTGGGGTCTTTGGATACCATTGACCTTGCGGCTGTCCTTGTGGAGGACTAGTCTGTTGCGGTGGTGTAACAACCACCGCTGGACCCGAAGAAGAAGATGCAACAGTCTGTGCGGCTGTTGCAGACGTACCACTTGGTTGTGTGCCAATTTGTACGGCAAAGGGANGTGCGGCTGTTGCAGACGTACCACTTGGTTGTGTGCCAATTTGTACGGCAAAGGGACCTGACATCGCCGTTAACGGCAACGACGATTGTGCTGGTGGCCGGAATCTTGGCTTTGTCAATGCATCCAGGATCTGGTCCAAAGTGCTTTGCATGAAGTCCATCCTGCTGTCTACATGCGCATGCAGTGACAACATGTTGTCCCTCAACACTTTCAGGGGGTCAGACAAACTTGATTCGTCCAATCCCTCTAACGCAGACTTGTCAGCCTCTAACGTATCAAGTCTGGCTGCTCTACCTTTTATCTCTTTTTTTCTATCGGTTGCTTTCTTCAGATCCTCCTCTAAGTACTGGCGGAGCCTCTCAACCTGTTGGATCTCTCTGAGCTCCCTCTCACGCGGGGTCAACGGGCTGAACTGCAAGCCCGCCATTTGACTAGAAGACTGTCTAGACCTTGTTGAACCGGAAGTGCCCGAGGAACTTGTAGAACTCGTTGGCATTCCCAACTGAGTCCCACTATTCCCTGACGAGGACGCAGACGATGACGCAGCAGAGCTGGTACTGTTAGCCATTGCTGTTGCTCTGGCTGCTGTTGCCAGCTCTCTTGCTACTCTGTTTGCTTCCTGTAGTCCTGCTGCTAGAGCACGGGCTCTACGTTCGGCACGAAGCCGTCTTTCTTCTCCCTCGTCCAAGGTCCTGAACACGTGCGGAACCCTTAGTGCATCTGCACGTGTAAGACTTCTATTGTCTGCTCTATCATCAACAGGATCTGATCCACTCATTAGTTAGGCAGATGGTTTCTGCACTAGAATCCCCTAGTGGAATCCTAGCACAACATGTATCTGACCGGCACCTAATTTTCTAACAATAGTTGTGTCCGGCGAGTATCCTACTATACCGAATCAAGTGGCAGGTCTACAACATTCACACAGATTGTCTACATAGTCTAGATGCACCCTGATTGGTTCACTTACAGCAGCATTAGTTCGAACTAGCTGTGGTAGCATACAACAGTCCTACACTAATCTGTCTGTGAGGTTAGCAGTCCGTCAACCAACTAATCAAAGGTACAAAAGACAATGTAGCAGATGTATGATTGATGGGTATAGTTGTGTAAACAGTTGAGCACCAATTGGAACCTACCCTCCCCTCAATCCAACCATCCGAACAGCATCATTGAGCAGGCAGTGTCTTCGTGTGTATTTCGGCCCACCCCTGTGCCCAAGTTGTCACCGAGCAAGCCAGCCCAACCACTCTTATTTACCCTMGTMCGGCGACGAGCCTTCCTGYCCATGTGATCTGGCTGATCAGGAGGGATTTATAGAGCGCCCCCATCTCTTCAGGAATTATTTAACGTCGCAGTCAGGACGACGATCATAGCCAGATTCATAATGAACTCCCAACCAGAAATATTTATAGACGGTCAGGTGAGTGTCTGACATGGGCTGGCACACCCGGAGCAACTTCTATCAGCGCAGCAAGTGCCAAACAGGACAGCAGCCATCGCATGCGTGTACTACTCCCTGTGGGTTGGCATGGTGACCGTGACCCAAGTGCTTCGACCAGGGCCCTTCAGAGGCACCGCCCTTTCTCCTTCCAGTATGCTTCCGGGAAGATTGTCGTCTCTCAAGGTAGCACCCTCACGACACCTCACCAAAAGAGAGGACTCTCAAGTTGGACTCACTTCCTCACGGTAAGAAGAGATTGAGAGAGTAGATAAGGTAAGGGAACAACGTACCTGGAGATAGCTGCCCCCAACCACAGATTTCTCACCAACTGAGCTGATGTTGCATTTGATGACCGGTCATGACCGCGGTACCACCCACAACGCAATGCATTGCCACCTTAGTCCAATGCCACATCAGCATGCTCTCATCACCAATCAAACATTCCGCTGTATCCCACGGCTAATAATGTCATCAATAGCCTTCCGGTGCACCCCTCTCTACCCAGGGCATGCACCTAGTGTAGCCTGACATCACAAGTACCCACTGCGAAGAAGCATCATCAACGCACCAAGTCTGTACAACGCCAGCGTGCCAAAGGTAAGTGGCGATCAAACCAGCTCCGATACCAAATTGCAAGGAACATGAGTATGGACGAAGCACAGAAATCCAGAATGCAAAATCACACTGAAGTCCAAGTATTCAAAGCCAAAGCAGATAGCACATGGAACCGAGTAACCATCCCATTGAGAATGATAC